ATGATCCTCACATGATCCTCACATATAGATGTGATGTGATGATCCTCACATGATCCTCACATGATCCTCACATGATCCTCACATGATGACCCAGTGGAGTCATCACCTCCACTGGAAGCACCATCATTTCATAGACCTCCTTCCCCTTGGACTCACCTAGCAAAGTTCTGCGCTTGCTTAAACTCCACCATCCACTTTCTCTCTCCCTGCACCTAAACAAACCTCTGAAGAGAAAACCCACCAGGATGATTGGTATCACCTTAAATTTATGGTCCTCCTCTTCCTCCTGACTTCTGGATGTTGGAGTGTCCACAGTTCAGGGATCTGCTTTCTATATTCACTCCCAAACTAATCTGTCATCATGTATGATAATAAAATACTAAAGAGATGAACCTTCAAGCAAAAGGGTTTTATTTTAGAGTAACATACAAAACGTAGACTTGCAATCAGTACATACCTACCAGGGCAATTTCCTGATGTGTCCAAAGCACAGAGGAAATGGCTGGAGTTTTATTGAGAAAGGACAGAAGGTTATGCAAATTGTTTTGAAAGAAAGTTAATTGGTGTTAGCAGAGGAGCTCTGATAGGCAGATGACAGCAATTACTAGGTAAAGGTTGTCTTCAAATCACAGCACCCTGTTTCACTGGATCGGATTTGCTAGGCAGTTTTTGGAACAGGCATTTGTAAACCAAGTGCTTTTTCCTAATGGCCTCTCAACTCCATTTTAGTTGAATAACATAGGAACGACTCCACTTTCACACATCGATTTATAATTTTTATGACCCTAGACATACTGCTTCTCCAAACCCTACACTGTTTACCTGACATCACACCATCCCCAAGTTCAGTCAACTCTACCTTCAGGATGTATCCAAAATGTGTCACGTTCTCTTTATTTCCCTTGTTGCTCCACCAGTCCAAGCCGCTGTGTTTATTCTTCTAAGCTATCGCAGCGGCCATCTAACTGGTCACTAGGGTTTCTTTTCCTGCCTCTCAGTAGCAGCCAGAGTGATCTTTTAAAAATGTAATCTTGGTGGCACCTGTGGCTCAAAGGAGTAGGGTGCCGGCCCCATATGCTGGAGGTGGTAGGTTCAAACCCAGTCCCGGCCAAAAACTGCAAAAAATAAATAACAAAAAAATAAAAATGAAATCTTTCTGTGATTTTTTTCTGCTTTAATTTCTCCAGTGGCTTTTGTCACATTCAGAAAAAAGTAGAAACTCCTCCTAACTCACAAAATTTCACATCTGGCCTCAGATAGTCCTTGATCTCATCCCCTGTCACCTTCCCCTTGGCCTTGAGTCACCTGCCTCACTGGCCAGTTTCAGTTCCTAGAACATGCCAAAATCTTCCCAGCCTTTGGGTGTTGGTGGTGGCCATTCCCTTTTTCTAGAATGTTCTCTCCTCTGATCTTTGTATAGCTGGAAAATTCTTGTGGTTAAAACCTGAGCTTTTAGGGGTCCTCAAACTTTTTAAACCGGGCGCCAGTTCACTGTCCCTCAGATCATTGGAGGGCAGGACTGTGGGCCCCGGGAGGAGTCAGCTGCTAAGTAGGACAGGCAGCTGCGGCAAAAACACCCAGCAGGCCGGATAAATGTCCTAGGCGGGCTGCATGTGACCCGTGAGCCATAGTTTGAGGACGCCTGGCTTAGATGTAATTCTTAGGAAACTTAACTATAAAAAATATGAGTAAAGTTCTCAATTTGCTGAGTGCTTGAGCAACTGAATAAAAACATATAGTTAAGCTTTTTGTGCTCTAAGTACTGCTTCAGCATTTTTACCTTTGAAAATTTAAAATTATTCCAGAATTTAAATATATACTAATGCATTAAATTGTCCCTTAAAGGTAGAAAATGGTATCCTAGAAATTGTGTCTGCCAGTGCCTAGAGAACCATCTGAGGCCATAGTACTGCCTTGCCAGATTGTGGGTCAAGTGCATCCATCCTTGTTTAAGACAAAGAATGTGCATGTGTGTGCATGCATCTCTGTGTTTGACAACAAAGGAATTAAACATATCTTGAATCCTGGTAGTACGTTTTTTCCCTAGAAAAATCCATAACCAGGTCATGTGCTCAGCCTTGTCTTCTGAAATTCTTCTTCTCAAATTTGTAACTTCTCTTTACAACAGGGTGTATACTAGATCATTTTTATGTAATTCCTTGTGAAAACAGATGAAGAAATATGGCTGGCTTCAGAAGTAATAAAGCAATAAAGAAATGACTCAGAAACAAGAGGGGAGCAAGTAGATGAGCAGGGAGGTGGAACAGTATTGGCATTGTGGGTGGGGCAGTTGTTCACGGAGCTCCTACACATGTGGTATCCCAGGCCCTAGTAAATGCTAGCAGCAACCCTTCCTGCCCCCTTGTCACTGTGCCAACTACAAATGCCCACACATTTTCAATCACCCTCTGGAGTGCTTGAGAATTAATAAGTGGCACGGCTATTATCTTGGTGCTTTCCGTTTTATAGCAGGTGTAACTTCAATGTGAAATTTGCTCAAGAGATAATTCATACAGTACTTTTACCCCCAGTGCTTTTATGTTCTGCTAATAGCCTTTTAGCTTAATGCTTTACACCATGCAACCTAATTCTGGAACACATTAAGTATGTTAAGTGAGGGATAGATGTATGGGGATCTAAACCTAGCAGATGGAATTGGAGGGAGGGACTCTTTTTGATAAGCAGTCTGGAGACAAAGTGCCACATCAATGTTCAAAGATGTGATTACTGCAGTGGAGGCCATTATCACCTTTTTCCTTACTTATGAGAGCACAATTAAAATTAGTGAACTCTGTGCTTTTCTTAAAAGGGTGAATTTAGGAAGTTAAATAATTTTCTTAGCAATTACCAGGAAAAGGCATACTGGTATGATATTACACACTAGAAGGACACAGCGATAGACCAGTGTAGTAAGTACCTTCCAAATGGTTCCCAGTGATTTCCGCCTCCTGGTGTTCACACCCTTGGGTAACCCTTTGCTCTTGAGTATAGACTAGATCTAGTAAGTTGCTTCAAATGAATAGAATATGGGAAAAACACTGGAATATCATTTCTGAAATTCAGTTACAAAAAACTAGGATTTCTGTCTTGTTCTTTCTCTTGCTCACAATTACAAAGCAAGCTGCCCTGGGAGCTTCCCTGTGGAAAGGCCCACTTGGCCGCCATCAAGGAACTGAATCCTCAGTCCAAATGAGAAGCATCCGGACAACCACCAGGTGAGTGAGTTTAGATATGGGTCGTTCTCTGGTCAACAACATGATTATAGCCCAGAAGAGATCATGAAGCAGAAGACTTGGCTAAACCACAGCTGATTTACAGAGACTGTGAAATAGGAAACATTTGTTGTTTTAAGTTGCTAAGTTTGGAGATAATTTGTTACACAGCAATATGTAGCAGTCTGCTATAAACAACAGGAAACACTTGTGATGTGATTTATGCTTCATAGTCTTTAAGACTGAAGGGCACTCAGATCTATATATTCAAATAAGGAGCAAGGCAGGGCTGAATAAAAAAACTTCCTGAACATCTCTGGCAGAAAAAAGGCCCCTTTTTCTGCCCCTTTTTCTGAAAAAAGGCATAAAAAAACCCAAAAACATTATATGGCATGATGGCATTGAAGAGAGACCATATAGGGGCATGTGTTATAAAGTCAAATTACTAACTCTGGAAATTTGAGCAAGTTGTATAACTTATTTGGGATTCAGTTTCTTCATTAAAAAGCTGGCAATGGCAGCTGAGCACAGTGGCTTACACCTCTAATCTTAGTACTTTAAGAGACTGAGATGGGAGGACTGCTTGAGGCCAGGAGTTTGAGACTAGCCTGAGCAAGAATGTGACCTCGCTTTACAAAAAAATAGAAAAATTAGCCAGGTGTGGTGGTATGTGCTTATAGTCACAGCTACTTGGGATGCCATCACACTCTAGCCTGGATGACAAAGCCAGACTCTGTCTCAAAAAACAAAACAAAACAAAACAAGGCTGGTGATGGGATTGGCCAACAGACTAAGAACTGTGTTAACATTCTATGATGCTATGATTCAAGGATTGCAGGCAGTTCTCCCAAAATCTCTTTCTCGTTTGCTGGAATCTCCATCATTAGGTTCCTTGGTGTTTCCGGGTACTGTCCCTGAAGTTACTACTCAATGGAAGAAATTTTTGAATGGTGAAATGGATGGAGAAGGAAATTCTATGGATACCTTTATAAACAAAAAGGTAGGTTCTTGTGCTCCTGTGAAGTCCCTGAAGGGTAGTGGTGACAACAACAGAGATAGTAATGGTTGATTTCACAATTTTGATGGCCTTTTCAAAATTCAGATATATGTGAACTGTATAACTGATCAGATTTCCCCTCTTACCTTGGCTGCAAGAAAGGTCAGAGTAAAACTCAAGTTCAATCATAGCCACTATATTAAATTTGATGGGTCCTGTATTCATATTCTTTTTCCCTGTCTAATTTACATACTTCTTATTTACCACATGTCTTTTGTTATAAGTCGGCTCAAATATTCCATGGAAAAAGTTGGAGGCATAAATAAATATAATAGACACAAACCCATATATTTATTTTTTTCTGTAATTGTGATAATACAAACACAGAAACAGCAAGTCTGTAGATATACCTTTATCTTGACTATTTTCAAAATTTAAAGTTAATTTGGTTGGGGGAGGAACAAAGATTTAACTTAGCATAATTGGTGAAAAGCATAAGTTGGCAAAATTAAAAAAACACAAATTCCAACAATATTTGTACCGTTTTTATTTTGTAAAAATAACCATCTGAATGCATTTCCATAGTATATTACAGTTAAGTACTTCATTACATTATTAGAGCATTCAGTAGTTGCAAAAGTATTAAACTGTGCTTGAGAAGATTCAGATTGGTTCAAAGTCATTCACTGAACTAAAAGTCATTTTCCTCATTTTTACAATTATGACATTTATCAGAGTCATTCAGCTCCAATTTACATAAAAAAACATTATAGACAAATCCCACTGAAATCATCAAACAATATTTTATGCTGTTACAAATATGTTATGCAAAATATAACACTGGCACCAGATTTGTATCATCGTGCTTTGCAAATATATATTGCACATGCTAAAGCATAAAATATGTAGACAAAACTACCAAACAAAAGATATTTGCATTGAAGTTTTAGATCACTGCATAAGAAACGCATAGAATTACATTTTATACAAACACTCAGATTGTCACTATCTTTGAAACGCTTTTCCCCTATAATACTGACCTATGGTTTACAGTTTTGTAAGAAGAAAGCACTTTAGCACTGCAAAATCCAACATATTTTCCTATAGAAAACTTTAGCATTTTCATATTCATTTCAATGCAAGTAAAAGGGGAAATAGGAAAAAAGACACTTTTTACATTCAAAGAAAGGTTGAAATAAAAACTCACTGGTATCATATTGCTCCGATAACACGCACATGAAAAAATTACAAAACATTTCACAGAACATTTTCAGAATATACAAATTTAAAAAGGCACTCTAACTTCATATTACAAGACAAAAAAGGGATGGGCTCTTCAACCAACACAACAGATAAGCACACCAAGTTGCTCAACCGTACAAAGAACACTAGTGCAGCAAATTCATTGGATGTTCTCGTTCTAATTTAATAATAAAATAATAAATGAAGCAGTGTTTACTGCCCAAAGTACCGAAACATACTATGGTGCCCTTTTAATAGTGACAAATAGAAATCCCCTGAGCTATTTACTGTAGAATCATAGCAGATTTTAGGCAAGTTGGAGATAGTAACATATTTACCAAAGAGAGACAGACACGGCTGAATAGGTAAGTGCAATGAAACGTGATCCCTGTGGCTGTGGTTAAAATACAGTTTAAAAATAACACATTTAGGTAAAAGCACTCAGCAACTCAGTTTTTAAGACTCAATTAAAAACACAACATTTTCTGTTTTTTTTTTCCTTCGAAAGCTATGTTACAAACAATTTTATTTCTAAGAGATGTAATCAAAACAAACAGAAAATTATAGTTTTTAAAGTCATTTCTGAAAGGAAAAAATGTGGTCTCGGGGAAGGGAGGAATAGAATGAGAGAAAGGGAGGGGGAGAAAGAAAGATACGTCAATTGATTCAACGATCAGTTCATTGTGAGCATGATTTCATTTCATTCTTTTGTCCTCCTTCTATTGGTAAGAGAGAGTGGGGGAAGGTCAAAATGCAGCTCCATGGAGATAATGTGTCCTGGTCAGTCACTGCTTTGCTGAAAGGGTCCTTGTACTCTCTGCTGCTCTACAGGAAAAATATTAACGCTGCTTCACCATGAGCACAGGCATTTTTAGTTCTGGCTTTAAATGCCAACTGAGCAAGATTTCCATTCATTTCTAGAAAAAGACACCGTAGTATATTGTGCTTCTTCAACATTAGATCTCCCTCATTTTCAGTGTTTTGGTAAAGGTAAGGTCTTTATTGCTCATTAGCACTTTATCTACTTTTTAAAAAGACATCTTTTCTAAACAAACAGAAAGGACAGAAGAAGGAGGGAAATACAACACCAAGAATAAAAAGAAAATGGTGGCGGTGCTAAAAATTTTCAATAAGATTAATACCAGTTCTTAAGTCCTTTGAATAAATTCTCATTTGTGAAGAATCCCACATGAGTTTTCATTAAATCCAGGATATTAAAAGAATGAGATCAAAGATTTTTATAGCTAGATGAAAAATATAATACAGTATTTGTATTTGATCCAGATATGATAGAACACTGTTGTAAAAATCTCTCACACTATAAATAGAAATTTGGGGGATAAAAATGAAACCCATTATAAAATGTCAGAGAGAACTGTCCTAATTCAACAGGGTTCTTGGCTGTCTCTTCCTCAAGTGGAAAATAGCACTTGAGCTAGTGATTTTTATTTCTCCTCTTAGCGTATGTACCCACACATTGGCATCATTTCCCATAAGGTTACTGGGACCCTGTAAGATTTTTCAGTGTATTTCGGGTAACTTCTGGATCTTTTTTGGGACCATCTTTGTCTATACGATCTACTACACACTTCCATCTTCATCAGGCAGAAGAGCATACAGACCCCAGTGTCTTCTAAGCTCTAAGCTGACTCCAGACTGGGGGTGAGTGATGGGGGTTGTGCCCCTCTCTAGCCAACAAAGAAGAACCTAACAGTCCATTGGAAACTTTAGCAGTGGAAATGCTGGGTCTGGCCCCAGGGCTCTTGGCTAGCCCAGGCTCAAGTGTGTTTTTCCACTTTTTTGTTATTCCAAATCAGATACATAGCAAATAAACAATGGATGTTTCCTTGGTATTTGTTTCATTTCAAATAAATATGAACACATTCACATGAAAAGTGTATGGACATTTTCTCTAATTTGGCAAAAAATAAACCATAGTCAACACATTTTCAGTTACAGATGTTACGCTGTCAACTAGAAATCTGTGTCATAAGAAATATAAAACACAACGAAGACTGTTACACCAAAAGATTACATTTTAACCCCATAGAAAAGCTACTTCAGTTCTCACTTGCGTTTTGAAGGAAAAAAACTTTAAATCTTCCATTTTAGACTGAAGCATTTTGGTCCTCATGTATAGCTGGTTGATGAACTACATACATACATGTACATGTACATATACACACCCATGTGTGTACGTGCATAAGTTTTAAAGAGTCTTTCATTCTTCTTTTTGTACAGCTGTTCCAGGTGCGGAACGGGGTCCATTTGACCTAGAAGCTTTGGCAGAGGGAGTAGACACAGTATTCACTATGTTGATTTCATCATCAAACAACTGGCAATTGGCTTTAATTTCTCTATCACCCGATTCTACTTTCTGCTTTCACTTTCTTTGTTTTCTTTTGCAGTCACACTTTCATTCACTTGACATGACTTTGAGAAGCTCATTGACATTTTACAATTGATCGACAATGCTGATGATTCTGGTTTTAAAAAAGTTAGTACATATTTTGATTTAAGAAAGAATCAACAAGGGGTAGTTTCATGTTAAACTTGCATATGATCTCAAAGTTTTGGTGCAATTTTCATCAGAAATGTTATTAGATAGATTTGGTTTCAATCACCTGGGTGAACATTAGTTTTAGGTTTGTTATGGGAAACACCGAGTCCTACGTTTGTGTTACACGAAAAAAAGCAAGTTCAGTTTTTCAATTCATCTGGCAACTTTAACAGAGATCTTCAGAAAGTAGTTCTGGATATTTAAGTGCTTATTATAGAGAGGATATGAATAGCTGGACTCCCTTAAAAAGATTATTACAGGCATTATTTCTGAAGATGAACACCTTTACCTTTGGCTTCTAGTGAGGAAGTAAACATCAAAGTGAGAAGAGGCTGGAGGCATTTCCTAGCTACCTCTCCCCTCCCCTCCCCGGGGACGTGAATGTCACATTGATAGACTTCTGAGAACAGACTGCCGAGGACATGAAAAAGAATTCTTTATAGAGAGCGCTTGCCTCTCTGTTGCATTATCCCCAAAGAAAAGGAATTAAATACATTTTCTATTCCTTACTTAAAATGAGAGGTAGACTTTCACAGAAATATCTTAGATCTAAGGAGAACATGAAACAAAACAAAATCGGGGCCTATCTGTGTGAATGTTTCACCCAACCGCCTCTCTAACCTCTCTTGGTTTGATTAATTCCTTCTCGACTGGCTTCTGGAAGCCTGAGCCCCAAATAATACTCGGACACAACATAAACATGGAACTCAAGCTTCTTTCCCTTCCTCCAACACAGGTGATCAAGGATAAGCTTCTACAGTCCAAAGTCAAAACGTTTCTGAATCAGAATCATTTTCATTGTACCCATCCTCCGAGCCTACGTTGTTACTGCACAGGCTAACCATGCTCCCCAGGTTGGAGAGGGTCGTCCTGCTCAAATTGTCTTTTTTAAAACAAACGAAGTTGACAGCCGTCATTGTATTGGAAGGAGAAAAAGGCATCATGGTAGCCAAAATGAGGGCCAGGCAGTCAGCCACGTCTTTGTTAGGAGCGCAAGCCAGGGCCGGGGTATGACCTGGGCGTAAATGCAGACAAGGCAGTGGTTAGTCCGGTCCGGAGGCTCGCGAGCATTCCACAGTACATCTCAAATGGTCTCCAAAGCAGAGATGTATGCTGAGTTAGAAATCATGCTGGGAAAACGGGGAGTTACTCTGCACAGTCATGCTAGGGGGAGGCTGGAGGGAGAGGGAGTGGGGAGACATTCTGTGAAGGGTTTTTGGGTTTTTGTTTCTTCCAGCTCCCATGACTACAGCAAGCACCACATTATCCAGAGTTAGGCAGGATTCCAGCCTTCATCTAGTGAACAGAAACATGAGGGGGCGGGTGTGGGACACGATACCACACAAAACAGCAACAGGACACACCAGGAGGATGTTTCCACTTGAGAGCGCACGCACACCATGAGCCTCAGGCCCGGGCCAGAGTCGGACTCTCATTCTGAGAACAATGACTTTGCATTGTTAGGTAATTGTGTGTCAGATTAGAAAAGATAGCAAAAATTACAGGATTGTGAAAGTGAGCAAAGTAATTTTGTTGCTTTATATATCCTCTCTCTATAAAGTATACACCAAGTAACTGGTTTTAGAAAAATGGAATCATTTGAGTAGATCAGATATAGGAAGGCGTTGGTTGTGTGTGAGTAAAAATTTACAATCATTTAAGAGAAATTTAACAGAAAATTAAGAAACAGTGACTCCACCAACCAAATTTGAATCTGAAATGTAACATGTAAGAATATGACTACGCTGTGCCACAATTAGAGTCACGTCATTCTCTGCGGTTTAGACGTGACGCATCCAGTCCTCGTGAGCCAACTGCCTTCACACATAGACAGGTGTCTTGGGGAGGTCAATTAAGAAGTCTTTGTTTTAATTGCTCCTTCATCCAACCTTTATCACTGGCCTGAAAGGGTCAGCCTCCTTCTCAGTGGCCTGAGTTCCTACTACCTATCGCATAGTGTCCTCACTCAGTCACTCAGAACTGTCACAAGGAACTTTCACCTTTGACCTGCTTTCCCTCCTGCCCTTTTAAGGGATTATTATTCTTTCTGATATGAAAACAAAGACGAATGGACAGCGATCTCAGCATTCCATTCCATAAAGGCCAGTAAAGGAATCATGACTGTACCCCCACAGGTCCCCCCGCCTTTGAGGTGCAGCTGAACCCTGACATAGGCTGCAGTTCCACTGACCCTGGGGGCTCTTGCTCTTAAGGTTGTGTTTGGCCAAACAAACCTCAAATGTAGCAGATTTACACCCCAGAAAGGCAAAACTAATTCATTCTGTTCTCTTTGGTCATTTTGGAGATAAACTGTGGGCCTCTGCATGCCAGCCATAAGGTATATCGTGGTGATAAGATGGTGAGGGAAGGTGAGGCAGGAAGATCAAGGAGATGGAGTAAGAGAGAACTTTCTGCACTTCCTAGATGAGTCAGGCTGGGATAGAGCAGGGTACATGCTAGGATAAATGGGGCTGCAGAACCAACACTAATCAAAGTTAGCTAATGATGTCAGTATGGCTGCTTACTTCTGAGAAATAGGCATGAGCTGCTAATTCCAATACCTGTAATAAGCAGTTAATTGAGTTACATTAATACATTATAACACTTTCATTAAATGCCACAATTAATGCCATATTTAAAAATTACTTAATTTGTAAATATCCAGAAATTCTTTTTTTTGCTCCCCACGGTTAATAGGCATTCTGTTTAACATGGCAGTTTAGTACAATTGCTGTATTCATTAGCTTTCAAAATTCTAAGGAAGCAAAGTACAAAGCTTCTGTTAAGAATTAGCTCATTTAGAAAAGAAATATATAGATCAGGAGAAGCTTTCAAGCACAGACATTAATTAAGAAATTTTACTTTTGTTCCCCAAATTTCCATGTGGAGAATATGAGTTCTGATCTTTACTTTAAAAAGAAAAAAAGGTTTGATCTCAGAATGAACTGAAATACGATCAAAGACCTAGGTTTATATTTGGGCCCTTGAGCATGCACTAATGACACGTGTAATCCCTAAGTCTTCAGCATATGCAGTTAGAATTGTGAATGCCAAGTTGAAAATTTTTTGGTATGTCTAAAATAGTTTAACCACCATGCTGAGGAGTTAGAGGCCAGCTGCTGACATTACATGCAGAATGGACAGCACTGGTGGGCTACAGGTAGACCATGAGATTTACGAAAAGACAGACAGGACAAATTATCCTCCTTTGATTTTTCACACACATAGAACTTCCAAGGGGGAGAGAATTCTCACTGCCTTTTAAACTAGCTCATGTCTTTCTCATTTCCTCAGGCTTAACAGCATATGGAAGGTACCTGGATTGACTGTTTACTTTTACCACTTACCATTTTCATCTACAGCAAGGACACAGGCCCCTTTGGCCAGCAACTCCTCAACTACCACCTTCAAGCCATTGCGTGCAGCAACATGGAGGGGTCTAAAAACACAAGACCGAGTATCAGTCATGACATGTATTTGTGAGAATGTGGCACTTTGGTTAGCCCATCTCACTAAAGGAAAGAAGTACTTAAGAATCTGCAAATAGTATGTGGATTTTTTTTTTTTTTTTGAGACAGAGTCTCACTCTGTTGCCTTGAGTAGGGTGCTGTGGCATCAACAGCTGATAGCAACATCAAACTCCTGGGCTCAAGCAATCCTCTTGCCTCAGCCTCTCGTGTAGCTGGGACTACAGGCATCCACTACAACACCCAGCAAGTTTTTCTATTTTTAGTAGAGATGGGGTCTCACTCTTACTCAGGCTGGTCTTGAACTCCTGAGCTCAAGCAATCTACCCGCCTTGGACTCCCAGAGTGCTAGGATTATAGGTGTGAACCACTGCTCTTGGCCAGGCCAGCATGTGGGTATTTTTACCGCTTATGAAAGGTATGTGTCAACCAGATGTTTTCCAGGTGCTAATAATCCTCCTGTTCTTATATGTTTGGCCCAGACTTCTCTGCAGATACTGCAAATACTCTGCATCTCAAACAATCTCAATGACAAGACGTAGGAAGACAGAGAAATAGCTCTTGTGTATTTTGTAGAAGGTTCTTTATCATTTGATTTCTACTACAGTATTTGAATCACTGTCTCACACAGCTCATTGATAAAACTGGCAATAATATCATCCATATTTATATAATTTCAAACTTCTTTGTTATTGCTAAATGCACACAAATGTTTTATGAAATTTATAATACCTTAAGAATAATGCCAAACTCAGTATATTGTGTAATATAATGCTTAAGAATCTTTTTTTTTTTGTCACTGAAGAGTGCTGTAGCATCATAACTCATAGCAACCATCAACTCTTGGGCTCAAGCAACTCTCTTGCCTTAGCCTCTCGAGTAGCTGGGACTACAGGCATCTGCCACAACACCCGGATATTTTTAGAGATGGGGTCTTGCTCTTGCTCAGACTGGTCTCAAACTCCTGAGCTTAGGCAATCCACCTGCCTTGGCCTCCCAGCATGCAGGATTACAGGCATGAGATACCATATCTGGCCTAAGAATCTCAAAGAAAAAAATCCTAATATTCCTTTGCCTTTAAAACAAATGCATAAGTAATTTCCTAAAACAGAAAATGGAGCAGCTTTTAGATCTTTCACACTGAGGATTACACTGAATCATATTAAAATATAATTAAGACAAATAGCTTAGAAACTCTTCAAATGTATTCTGGGAACCTGATTTATAAAACTGTCATTTTCTAGTCAGAATACATAATGCTAATGCATAATACAAATGGTTTCCCTAAATATGTCAGTCCATCAGCCCTTGAGATTCTTCTAACAGCCTACTAAATTTGTAATGTTACCCCAGGAATATTGCAAAGAAAACCACAGATCTCACAAAATACTATGAAGACATCAAAATAAGGACTCTAACTAAAACTGTCTAGCTTGGTCAGCATTTATAGGGAAGTGACTGTCACCTTCACCCAGGAGAAGCCAGGTCTGCATCTCTCACCACTGTTTCCCCGGAGCCAGCCTGGCACACAGCAGGCTCTGAATATTTGTTGAATAAATGACTATGATTCTAGATCTGAGTCAAACTTTAATAGTCATACTTACGTCTGCAGTGCATTATTTTTTGCATTAATAAGGCTCTCATCTTGTATCTTGTCAAGTATTAACAAGGCACATTTTTCATGACCCTAATAAAGAAAAAGAATGATAAGAAACATGGAACAGAGACACAGAAAAGTTCCTGGAAAATTACTTCATTATGCCTTAAATTGAAAATGAATTTCCTCTGCCTATGTGTAGTCTATGTGTATAAGACTATTTTTGGAGTAATTTTTTTCTTCTAAAAAGCAAATTGGCCCCAGATATGCTGAGATTCTGAATAAGATCTATTAGGATTTGGTTAACATAAGTCTGGTCTAAAATATTAATACTTCTAAGATAACGTTTAGAATTAATGTCCAGAGAGCTAAAGCAGATGCTTGCTTAGTTAAGTCAGCTGGTAAACAGAGAGTAGAATAAGGAGTATCCTTTAAATCCTTCATCATCACTTTTTAAACATACATAAAAATTTCCGCCTCCGATCTCAGGCCCTCAATTACCACTTCAGTGAACCATTTACCCGTAGAATTCCCATTCCTATCATCTGTGTCACTCATTATCATTTATTGCCTTAAAAAGACCCTATTTGGGGATAGCTTATTCTTTTCTTCCTCAACCAGGAAAAGATATCTCTCTGTATCTTATGACAACAGATGGTTGATCATTCTTGAAAACCAATTGGTAAGTCAGAGATCCTTTCGTGACTTCAAGCCTAGATCACTTTTAAGGGGTTCATGGCTTCCTGTAGCCCTTTGCTAATCAACACGTGGCCCACAGACCAGCAGCATCTGTATCACCTGGGAATTATAAACATTGACTCTCAGTCCTTACCCTAGACCAAATAAATCAGAATCTATAATTTCACAAAATCCCAGGTGATTCATTTGCACCACAAAGTTTGAAAAGCACTGCCCTCATCTTCACTAAACTACTGCACCTTAAAATAAACTGCATAAATGTGAGCCCTTTTGTATTTTCCATGGGCTTCCCAGAATATGAAGTAAGAAAATGCAGGCAAAGAAAGGACTGGCTAAGACTTCTGACACCACTTTAGCATTTTAACTGTGTTAAATATGATAATCAGTGGTACCAACTGGCTTCATATTATAATGCCACATGTGAGAGACTAGGAGACCCTTAAATACAATTTTGGAAATGTCCATGGAGGCTGCAGTCTGAGGCTGGTGGAGTACAAGCTGTTGTAATATTAGAGGACTATTGATTTAAAAAATCTTCATATCCTTAGACTCAATAATATTACATTGAGGAATTCATCTTAAAGGATTCTTAAAACATATTTCTCTCACTAAGCCTTATTTGCAAGGTTAGGCATCCCAAATTGGAAACTTGGAAATCGAAATGCTCTAAAATACAAAACTTTTTGAGCATTGACATGGTACTCAAAGAAAATGCTCATTGGGGCATTTTGGAGTTTTAGACTTGGGATGCTCAATAGGTATAACTCAAATATTCCCAAGCCAGAAAAAGTCTGAAATCTCAAGCATTTCATGTACTGAACCTCTAGTAGCATGTATTTGAAAATGAGCTATTTGTCTTATAATAGGAGATGGGTTGGATAAAAGATAGCACATTCCTATGTGTTATTTTCTAAAAGCTCTCTTCTAAAAGACCATAAAACCTCATGTTTAAAAGAAATATATTCATAATATATGATTTGGTAATTAAATCAAGTTATAAAACAGTTTGAACCCACTTTTGTAAAGTATATGATGTGATGTGTATGTGTATAAACTTATCTTTCATGGAAGCAGGAATTTTTAAGTAGCAATTTTAAGAACACAATCTATTTGAAAAAACAAACACACACATTCTTTGATTTGAATTCTGCACCAGAAAAAAGGGAGAAAGGTAGAAACACACATAGATACGTTGGCTTCACAGTAGAGTATTTTTTTTTGGCTTTGTTACTGCAATGTCTTCAAGTGGAACAAAATGAAATCAAGTAGAGTTGGTTATATTTTCAAAGCCATACAACTAGGGACCGATGTGGCACCAACACATCGGACCACCCCAGATACAGCAGCAGAATTGAGACAGACTGCAGCAAGAATGCAAGTGGCCAACGCCTTGATGAGCATGTCCTCGTCATTCGCGCTGATGAGGCACATCCCCGCCAACCTGGTGGCCCTGTCCTTTCCTTTTCCCCCTTTCATTCCACTTACAGTTGACAACATTGTGAAACAATGTACATCTTAGCTAAGAGCCATACCACACAGTTCTGAGATAGAATTTCAGCACGTTTACTACTACTATTATTATTACAACACTAAGTAACAATGTTTTAAATTCATTTACATACTTTACTACTCGCCAGATGTAAGGGTGTGTTCAAGTCCTTATCTTTTATAGTCAGATCAGCCTGGGCACTGTTCACCAAAATATCTATAGAAAAAAGGCAAAAAGAAGGTTACTTAGACTAGATGCTAATCACATGCATTTTGAAGAAGTAACTACAAAAATAATAACATTTATATCAGTACAGCTCACATAATCATATTTGATATTTTCAAAGAGAAAGGGGGCAACTTATTGTCATATTTGTTCCATCCAAATCTAAGGTTGACAGCCATTTATTTTAATTGCCTTTACAGTTCATTATTTCCAGTTAAAATGAATCCGTTGTTACATTTGGTTTCTAAATGTTGGGAAATTTCACTGCAGAAAGATTAGCTTGCTTTGACAAGGCCCGCCAACCGTTAGATAACAGGAAACTAAAGCTAGAGCAGGCAGAGTCAGGTGGCTTAAATAACACAGTTAATGGCCCTTATTCACATGTATGTACAAAGAGAATAACTGATTACAATGTTACATAATTTGGGGTTTTGGACAGGTGTAAGTAGAGTCACACAACGAGTACATACCCACGGCGCCTGCCTGCCCGTTCTCAGCAGCCATCATCAGTGCTGTTTTCCCTGAATTGTCTACTGCGTTCACTTGAGCATTGTGTCTCAAAAGAAGCTGCAAGCACTCCACATGATCAGCGAATGCTGCCGCATGAAGGGGTGTCCTGAAGATTTAAACCAAATACGATTTTAGTTTCCTTTAAACTTCCATAGTAATTGCCCAAGCAACAAGTCCAGGTTGTTGTCTTGAGGGTTTAAAACGTCTTGATTTATAGAGGTAATGATTAGGCTCCCTGGGAAGAGCATTCAAGGTAGACATCACAGTGTCCCCTATGTGAACAGCACCTTCTAGATTTGGGGGTGTATGTGGTGGCCCTGAATTAGGGCTGAATAGCACCTTTATGGGCCCCTTAATCTTAAGTACCAGTGACTTCACTGTCACCTTTGAGATAGATTCTTTCTGACTAAATAAAAATTTCAGAATCTCACATCATTTAATGCAGACAGTTGATTTCATTCAGAGAATAATTTGACATTATTTATCAAAATTAAAAACTCCCAACCATTTAGCTAAGTAATTCCACTTTTAGGACTTTATCTTGTAGTCTACTCAATCATATGTATAGACACACATGAAAATGTTCAATGCATCACTCTTTGAAACAGCCAAATACTGGACATACATATTCTTCAACAGAGACAGGCTGAGGAAGTTATGGTATATCCAGCTTCAAGAAGAGTACGATAAATTTGTGTTTTGGTATGGAAAGATCTCCAAGACATACTAAATTCACAGAATTGTTATAGAATGCCCCCTTTGCTCAAAAAGAACATATGTACACATATAGTTTTTGTTAGATATCTATAGAAAATATTTGTGAGAATTCAAAAATTCGGAAAGAACAATGTATAGTCATTTTCTTTGCGGAAGAGGCTGGGAATTCTGGGTTCAGAGGGACATTTCTTCTATCATATTCCCTTGATAATATTTAATCTTCTAAAACCATGTCTCTATATTACCCTTTTAATAAAAAGAAAAAAAACCCAGGTATTTTGCTACTCTGCAGCCAAAGAGCAGAGATTCGTCGAGATAGAAGGCATGCCATCTTAGGCTCACTCACCTGCCTTTGTCATCTCTACAACTGACGATACTGGCATCTATGGCCCCAAGTAACAAGGATGCACAATTCTCATGATCATTTATTCTAAAATAAAAAAGGATTTTAATGTAAAAATATTGCTTTTTGAAAAATTATATCCCCCTCTTCCCATGCACGATGTATTTAACAATCTGATGCAAGTATCTGTGGTCTATGTTTCAATGGCATACATGCTGTAACCCCTAGCATTTTCTTCAAAATCTCTACAACCAGGTAGGAGTTTATTACACACCACTTACGCAAAGCACCATGTTTGGTATTTTGGAGATATCAAAATGGAAAAGACATGATTACTTCAGATTTAAAATGACTGACTCCTTGTTACTTATGTTTTATTTATCGATCTATTCTCTGACCCCAATATCCTTCCAATCAAACGACCTGGCTTTCATGTGGAGCCCAGAGACAATGTGGAAGTATCCTCAGGTCTTGGGCACCACAGGCTGACCATAAATGCCCAGTTGAACCCACATCCCTGGGCCATGATTTAAAGTCACTGTATCCTCTGAGCAATGGTTCACACTGTGAGACTGGAGCAAAAATTACATTTACCAAAAAAGACTTAAAAACATATGAAAAATGGAGAATTATAATACATGCAAAGTCTTTCTGGCCTAAAATGGCTTTCTTCTCATCCCCGGGCATATTGTTCTCAACTCTTCCTTATTTTTAGAATTTGGCAGATAAATGTGAGTCACACTGGAAGAGTTCTTCACATAATGGTTATCGTGTCTCTCAGCCCAACCCTCTGTGAAGTTTTCCTAAGATGGCATGTGAGCTCACCAAAAACATCTCCTGGAAAATCATCAACATTAGGGAATCACACTTTGCTATCAGAGCTACTTGTCTTTAGCAGTAAAATAGAGTATTTCACTCTTATCTGTAATCTAAAAGCTTTTCCCTTCCCTAAAAAGCAATTTCTCTATGTGTAGTTAAGAGAATTAAAACAATGCCATTAACTCCAGCATTTCTACTTACATTGCACAGTGCAGGGGAGTAAAGGGATTACCAATAAATTTGCGAAAACATTTTTGCTCCAAAAGTACCTCTATACAGTTTTCATTACCTGAAAGGAATTTAAAAAAATGTAAAGTCTCCAAGAATGAAATTATTCAATACAATCTTTTTTTTTTTTTATTAAGTATTAAATCCTGGCTTATGAGTTTTCCTGAACTGGCTGAATATTCATTCTCAATGGAATAAAGTTAACAAACACCAAAATGTTATGAACTGTGTTTGCAGATGTTCTCAGACACAATGAACAAATACAATTGTGAAGGCCGCATGTTCTGCTGGGGACAGAGTGATAAGGCACCTCATTTGGAACCAGAAGAGGGTCTATGTTACTTTCAGCTCTTGATAGTGATGCCTAACAGAATCATGCCTCAATCTGCCTATAATTATAACTGGAAAGTTACCTTGCATGCACAAGAACAGGTTCACTTACAGAGATGTACTCTATCAGTGAAGGGAGAAGATACGATTAGTAGAAAACTGTGGTTGACAGATGCATGTGAAAAGGCTTTCACTGTAAAATACCACGGAAGCATTTTAAATGGCACCAAGAACAGTTCCTGGCACATCATAAGTATTTTTTTAAATAAGTAGATAAATTAATGTAAAGAATTATTTTCTTTCCCTCCTCTTTTTATTATTTATCTGTTTATTTTTACAATTTTTTTTTTTTTAGACGGAGCCTCAAGTTATCCCCCTGGGTAGAGTGCCATGGCATGACAGCCCACAGCAACCTCCAACTCCTGGGCTCAAGCGAGTCTCCTGCCTCAGCCACCCAAGTAGCTGGGACTACAGGCGCCCGCCACAACGCCTCGCCATTTTTGGATTGCAGCCATCATTGTTGTTTGGCAGGCCCGGGCTGGGGATTCAAACCTGCCACCTTAGGTGCATGTGGCTGGTGCCTTAGCTGCTTGAGCCACAGGTGCTGAGCCTATTTTTACAATTTCAGATTCATATGAGGGTACATGCAATTAGGTTATGTAGTTTGCATTTGTAAAGCCTGAGTCACTGCTGAGTCCTTCACCCAGGTAGTGTGCCGTATACCCCTACATTGATTGTTCTTATTAGGTGGGGACTTACCCAGCTTCTTGAATTTAATTGTATTTTTCTCTTGTGTGGGCCTATAGTTGTTGATCTACTATTTTTCAACATAATATTGAGTACATGGGGCCAGGTGTGGTGACGCACGCCTGTAATCCTAGCACTTTGGGCCAAAGTGGGTGTGATTGCTTGGGCTCAGGAGTTCAAGACCAGCCTGAGCAAGAGTGAGACTCTGTCTCTACTGAAAATAGAAAAATTAGCTGGGAGTTGTTGCAGGTGCCTGTAGTCACAGCTACTTGGGAGGCAGAAGCAAGAGGATCACTTGAACCTAGGAATTTGAGGTTGCTGTGAGCTACGATACCATGGCACTCTACCCAGGCCAACAGAGTGAGACTCTGTCTCAAAAAATAAAAAAAAATATTGAGTGATGGGATGCTTGCTTTTCTGAGGAAGTATTTTCAGTAAAATGACAAATAGTTTCCAAATCAACTCAATTTGAGTTAAGTAAGGTCCTTGCTGTCAATTTTCCTATTATATGATCTAAGGCAATTTGTTTGGGATCTCTGAGACTCAGTTTCCTACATATAAAAGTTGGACTAGGAATACTCGCCCTACCTATGTCACAGTGGTGGGAAGTTTACTTAATAAAGAACCTCAATGTGGCTTATGAAGCAATATATATCCTGCTGACCACAGTGTTTAGCAGTTTGAGCATCTTGTATTGTCTCTTGGGAAAAAGCTGATTATTCCCCAGCCTTACCAAGCTTTCCCTCATTACGAACCTAGTAAAAAGGCTCTGTGTGTTTCCTTTGTAAGGTGGGAAGGCATTGCTATTTGGCTTTGGAATACAGATTGTCCTGAAACCTCTTCTTGGCTCAACTCAGGGCTAAATTAGCATAGTTCCCTTATGATCTACCTCTGAATGATATAGAATGGGCAATTTGAAGGATAAAATAAAAATCAAGCCTTTCTTATACCTAAAAGAAAAGATGACACTGCTTTTAGGAGGATTAGAAAGCATATGAAGTTAACACATATAAAAAGCTCCTAGCCTTAGGCAAGTTATTATATTTAGCTTTCTAGCTGTATGCTAGAAAATTCTCACTCAAATACTTCCAGATACCTCAACTCCTCTGTTAGTATGAATCCCCCAAAGACCTAGCTTAGGGTAGCATCTACACATACCATCCATTAGATGGGGACTAGATGAACCCCAACCTAAAGAATCTGTGTAGGTAGGACTGGAGATTACGGAACTACTTTCAATATTTCAAAATGCCCAGTGAATGGGATTCTGGGGAGAGGGGAGCTTGAACCTCACACCTGGAGGGAGGCTACCTTGAAAGCAGGGCTTGCTTAGCCGAGGACCGATCCTCTTTGGCTGCCTGTACCTGGAGAGGTCTCAACACAGAGCCGCCTCCCACCAGCCCTGGGGAGAGGACATGGTCTGGGCGGGTTTGTTACTTGTCATTACAATCATCACTCATGCTGCATCTGCCCCTGCTTGCCGGCTCTCCAGGGTCAGACAGATCCCACAACTTGACCCACATGTGGGCCCGGGAACCCTCATTCATTAGTGGGGGAGAAAAGAAAAAAGGAAAGATACCACAATTCTCCAGCGGCAGGGAGGAGACAAAACCAAACTGAAAAAGTAAAAAAGGTGGCTCTTCCTGAAGCAGAACCAAGAAGAAAAGAGGACTGTAATGAAAACATGAGAGGGCTTAAATCAACATCATTAGAGAACACACGCCAAAAAACACTTTCTAAAATGCATAATCACAGTTTCTCACTTAAAATTTTAACAGAAGAATTGAACATATAAAAATTAAACTACCTGTAGAAGCAAAGTAAGAAGTATATGGGAAAATACTCATATCATCTCTGAGTGGGAGACCTTTTTAAGCAAGATGGGAAACAAAGATTTCATGAAAGAAAAATCTGACAGATTCCACTACATGAAAAACTCAAATTCTCTGCATGGAAAATGACATCATAAGCAGGGCACAAAAGCATTTGCAACATGGAGGATTCATATCACTAGGATGAGATGCTCCTCCGAACAGATGAGAAAAGGTAACACAGTAGGAAAAAAAGGGCACAATGGATGGAAAAGGAAGTTTCCAGAAGAAGAAACACAAATAGCCAATAAGCATGCTATTAGAGAAATGGAAATAAAATTAAAATGAGATGCTTTTTTTTTTTTTTTTGCCTTTCAAATTGATAATAATAAAAAAGGTGACATACTGGGCTAGCAAGAGTGTGGGAAAATACTAACTTTTGTATACGTGTTGGATGGAACAATACTTTATGATGTCTTTTTGCAAAGCACAATGGTATAATTTATTAAAATTAAAAAATATATATGCCTTCTTACTTAATAGTTTAATTTCTGAAAACATATCTGACAGAATTGATGGTACCACAATATGCAGACACACATTGTTACACTGTTTATAATAGAAAAAGACCCTGCAAACAATCTGAAATCCATCAACAGGGATATAGTTGAATAAATAATAAATTTTGGTGTATATACAGCTATAAAATAATATACAACTTTTAAAAGGTCAATCCATATTGATACACATTGATTTGTAAGGATATCTGTAATGGAATTTTAAGTAAACACCACTAAAAGAGTATAGCATGACATTTGTCCTATGAATATAATTTTAAAAAGAGATGAACATTCATTTGTTTGTTTATATTCCCAAAGGAAAAATTATGAAAGATACACATCAAGTTACATCAGAAAGTGGGTTTGGAAATGAAAACAGTTTTCCCGTAGACACCAGTATTTTTGAATTGGTAAAATTAGCATGTATTTACATTTTATTCAAATAAGTAAAATAAATTTTTTTAATTCTCTCAAATAACAAGTGTAATAAAATAAATGGGGAATATGAAACATAAAAAAGCAATGAGGTAGTGCCTGTGGTTCATAGGAGTAGGGCGCCAGCCCCATATACTGGAGGTGGCAGGTTCACACCCAGCCTCTGGCCAAAAACTGCAAGAAAAAAGAAATGCCAGTGGGGATGGATAATGTGTGCAAAAATATGGTTAGAATGAACAATATGTGATATCGCAACAAAGTGACTACAATCAACAATAAGTTAGGGTATACTTTAACCCTAAAAGAGTGAAACTGGAATCTTCCTAACACAAAGAAATGATTTTTGTTGGTAAATGCCTGAAGTGATGGCCATTACCCTGATTTGATTAATTTACAGTGTACATCTGTATCAAAATAGCACATGTACCCTATGAAGATATATACATAATTAAAAATAAAAACTTTGTCTTTATTTTATTTTAGTTTTTGAGGTTAAGTGCTTTTTATTTCATTCTTAGTTACTATTTTGATCCTCTTTGTCTTTTTGTGGTATTGGGATGGGGGCTCAGCTTTTCTCTCTCACTGAGAACCCCCTTCAGGGAGCTAGTTCAATTTGTTTTGGAAGTAGAGTTTATGATTTAGCCCACATACACAAAAGTTGTTACTGCTATTGCTTTTGAAAAAATAAAAAAAATTTAATTAAAAAACTAAAAATGCCAAAAGATAACACATTTACTGGAAATCAATTGGGACAGGTTATGCAACAATTTTCTGTTGTTTTTAGCTATATTATTTTAATTCCTTATGGGATCCCTGGTTATCTTATGTAGATCAGAAACCCTGATTAAAGCTAGTTATTTAAGCTCATCAGAAGTTCTGATTAGGAGAAGGGGAAAGTGAATTTTTACTTAATGAAGGCATTGTACTGGCCATGGAAGGGGGACTATAAAAAAAACAAAAACAAAAAGTATTATGGGTACAGAAAGATTGGAAATTATGGCTTACATCAGCATTTTGCTATGTCTTCATCTCTACAGAGTTCAGGGAGGTCCTGGGGTAGGCAATCTTAGTGCAATCAGTCAAATGGCAAGCAACTCACCATTGTAACAAGCCCAGTGCAGGGGTGTGTAGCCTTGGTTATCTTTGAAACAACAGTCCTCCTCGGAAACAGCCATCTGCAGCAGCTCACTCAGCCACGTGGCATGGCCACGAGCAGCTGCGTAGTGCAAGGGCGTCCTCCCTCTGGAGTCTTTACAGAGAATTGACACTTCTTGTTCCAGTAGCATTTGCACACATTCCTCGTGTCCTGTCATAATCTGATGCATGGCAATTAAAAACACAAAACAAACCTCAGAAGACTCAGGAAGAAAAATAGTTGGCTACATGAGGCTGGGCTCAGAGCAAGTGGACAGATACCTAGGCCTTAAGAGAAGCAGACTCTGCCCCACTTCAAGGATGGGATGCAGGACAACCCCAGCACGGTTCATTACAGAAAGTCAGTGAACAGCAGCACTTTGGAACCATCGCTTGACTCTCCAAACATACCCACGAAAGGTATCACGGTACAGTGGTGAACCTCAGTCTCAGGAAGACATGAGTTAAATCTTAGCTCCCCGTTGGCAGGTCAATTGGCCTCCCTGTGCCTCACTTTATTCACCCATAAATAGGAATAGTAATAATGACCTCAGATGTCGTTGTGAAGACTAATGAGATATAAGTAAAAGTTGCCAGCCTGATGCACAATCCAGAGGAAGTGCCTAAGAAATAAGAACTGTGATTCTGACAATGACCACACAGAGACCCTCTTTTTTTCATTGATCAGTCTATTCGGCACCATCCCCAAAGGGCAATTTTATAATTTCTGCTTTTGTCAATTTTATTTATTTGACATGCTTTAAAAAACAATTCAGCTGATGTGTACAAAAATTGTCCACAGGATAGATATTTTGGTATCATCTGTAATAAAGAACAATGAGAAATAGCATGACTACTCAAAACCAGGTAATCACTGAAATAAATTACAGTGTCTGATCACAGTGGAACATTGAAAATGGTGTAGGAAAAGGTGTCATTAAAAAGTCCTTGATTTATGAAGATTTAAAAAAACTGATTTGAAATAATAGCTTCTGTGCTTTCTCTTTTGGAAATTTAAAATAAATTTCTATACAGAAAAAAAAAAAAAGATCAGAGATATATGTACACCAAAAATTGGTTATCCCCAGGAGGTATGATTATCAGTGATTATGATTTTCTTCTCTTTGTTCTTAAAAAAAAATTGCAAATTTTCTATCATGTACCTATATTATGTAATCATAATCAGTTCAACCATGTTCAATCAGTAACCAGTTCAATCAGTTCAACCATGTTCAATCAGTAACCAGTTCATAATCAGTTCAACCATGTTCAATCAGTAACCAGTTCAATCAGTTCTACCATGTTAGACTAGGTGTTCTCTAACATGAAATGTTAAGAGGAGACTTAAGAGTATCTTCCATTATTTTGCCTTTGCAAAAAAAATTGTAATTTCTTTCTGACTAGCTGACGTTAACTGCTTATATCAGGAAACAACATTTTTACAAAAAATTCTTAAGGGAAAAAAACAGAAAACAAGGTCATTGGAAGATTGCTTGACTAGAACTGAGAAATATATACATACCCCTCTGTGTAAAGCTGTGCATCCTAGGATATCAACAGCATCTACATTTGCTTCCTTTTCAAGTAACAGTGAAACAGCATCAATATGTCCATATGCTACTGCAAGCATCAGTGGGGTTCTAGAGAGAGAGATAAAGTAGGCTTTTAAAAGACAGACTAAAAAAATACCACTTCCAGTGAGAGCCAGGTTCTCTCTCTTCTTGAAAATTGCTTACTATTTTCTGACTGTCCCCAATTTGCTATCTGCTATGTAGAACAAGATATCTGCCTCTGCTCTAATTGTCACATGGAATGGTATCAGTGGAATGATGCCTAGGGATGAAGCAGGGAACGTTCTTTTTCAAAACAGTCATGTTAACCTCATCATTTTCAGAACCCTGTAGCATTTACTAAATATCAGTCGGGTACGGTGTGTGTATGCAGAAGACCCTCTTGCTTCTATCAGAACAGCTCTACAGTCATAGTATTCTAGGTATGTTGGACTCTGTTCAAGATTTCATTTAAACAAAGCTTCTTTCCAGAAAAGTCTGACGAGTCTTGGGGGGAGAAGGGATCTGAGATGGGAGCTTCAGACTGTGCACTAACCCATACACCAAGGGCTAGTCACTAGTTACTCTTTACATTTCCTATTTTTAAGAGAAGACTGGGTGGGGAATAGGCCAACAGATCAAAATTACTTTGAAAAAACAAACTTAAGGAGGAATAAAAATCTAAAGAATTTTCATGATGGAGATAATCTCTTGAGGTCTAACTTACAGCCATTGGAAATAGCAGCTTCGGGAGAGGATAAAAATAAGTGGGAAAGGGAAGCAAAGGAGAGAATATAAAAAAAGAGCCAGGAAACATGGCCACAGCCATAAAAAGGTGATCTTTTTTCATCAAGATAGGCACACACACCAGCATGCTGTAGTCTAAAAGACCACCAGGATGGTAAAATAGGACAAAGGAGGGTTTTATTAGTGATATCAGTTTGCACATGAGGAACATAATCTCCTGCAGAAGGTGCTTCCTCTTTGAAGAGAGAAAAGGCAGGTTTTTAGGCCCCACAGGGTCCAGACTACTCAACAGGTTTGAGGATGAAAAGCTATGCATATTTACGAGGGGATTTGAGTGTATGCACAGAGAGTAAACATATATGTAACATATACCCTATGTTCACTTTGGGGTGTGGTTTTAGCATTACAATGAGGTAGAATTTGGCTCTTTACAAAGGTAAATGATGGCACACAGAGACAGGTTTGTGAGCGGTTTGTGTAAATTGGCTGAAACCGGCTTAAGGTCTGCTGTTGTTATCAGAAAATAATGTTTGTAAGGCCAGTCTTCAGTCCAATTAGAGTTGGCAGTAAATCAGAGTTAGGAGGGCCTGAGGGTTTGGCTGAAGCTCATACTACTAGGGTGTTTTATAAGACTGTGGTTTTTCTTATAGCTGGAAGTCGCCATCCCAGCTGAGCCTTGAACCCTTGCCACCAGTAGGTAACTTTTATTTCTTTAAATTTAGGGTCCATCTTGTTCGATAAAAGAACACCTATTTTGGTCTCTCAGATTACAATACATTTCTTGGATATGCATATTCTACATAAAACCACTTCGTGTATCTAGGGCCCTCACCCAGGAATTTCAATTCCCCCAACTTCTAGGTGCAGCAGTCAGCACTTTTAGCTGTGCGACACACCAACCAATACCTATTGTGACTGCTATATTAACCCAAGGCCAAGTGCAGGAACACTTACTGTCCTTTGGCATCTTTCACGTCCACCACTTCTGGGTTGTCTGCAATGTCTAGCAATAGCCGTAAACACAGTGTGTGACCGTTAATGACTGAAAAAGAAAACAATGGACAGTCTTTTAATAGAATAGCACCACATGTATCCCTCAAAGTGAAATTTCCTTGGACTTCAAATCAGTGCTTTTCTTGTTGCTGATAGATACCCCTTGGTTTCTAGTTCATGACCGTTTCATGGCACAGCACAGTGGTCTTCCTCTTTCTTCTTATCAGGGCACTTCCATCCTTACCTTCCTTTTCTGGTTGTCATGTTGAGGAAGCTTTTTCCTTAAACTTGATGTCTTATCTCCTTGCACAGGACTGATAATCACTCCACACAAGTGAGTTCCACTTTTTGTTCCTCTAAGAGAGTCACCCAATCCTGTATAATCATCCTGTGTGTACCCTGCCTATGGCCATTTTAAGAAGAAGGAAGAAGGGGATAAAAAAAAAGCAGTGGAGGGAGGAGTGGGGAGTGGGGACCAGGGAGGGGGGCGGGGAGGAGAGCAGAAGAAGGGAAGAGATAGAGAATAGGGCCGCCTCTTCTCCCAGGTCATTTAACATTGAGGTCGACAGTCCAGCAATAGTTCTGATTGAGTAGGGTTGGCTAAAAGCAAGAGCTCACCCCAGCAAGGTGTACTCATGATCCATGTATTCACTGATGTTGGTGATGGGCTGGCACCCTCAGGAGACACAGATGGGCCTTCTACCACTGGGGGACACCTCTGTCCTGTGCTCCTCAAAGCGTAGTTGGTGGTTTCTGCATCTTCCAGCATTTGGAGCAAGCTGCAGCCAGGCTCCTGCTCCCTCCTTTCCTTGGCCCTCCCTCCCCAGCCCTGCTCTGACTGCACCCTGCAGACCAAGGCAGGGAATACAGCCCCACCTGGGCCTCTGACAGCTGGGGTGGGAGCACAGGGACTTGCCCTTGTGCTCCCCGGCAAGATGCCTCTTTTAGGAAGTGTGGTCCCATGGGGCTGGGAAGCAAACCTCCTGTGAAGATAATCCATTTTCCTCCAGCTCATTGAACAAGGCTTACAATAGACTTGGCTTTCCACTTAGGGAATAAGATGAGAATAAATACTGTTAAAAATTCCAAACGTGATCTTCTCTCTTCTCTGAACAATATGAACACTATAAAATAAATTGCGTTTGCCATGCTATGGATGTGGAGAGGGAAGGGAATAGAGGCAGCTATGTTAGGTTGATAAGGCTCTCTGAAGAGCCGACTTTTCTAGTCCTTTTTATTGCTTGCCAGTCACAAGGGAATACTAATTTAGAAGTGACATATTTTTCAGGGACAGTGAGTACATATCAGAATTAGCCTCCATTCACCAACACTACTCAGATGAACTGCAGGAGCAACACCCACACTGTGCAGACCACCGCTTTCGGTCCATGCTCAGCAGTATTCCATTTATGTATCTCAGGGGGAAATGTCATGGAGTGGAGGGCAGGTAATACATCGTCGCTGCTGTTTGGTTTTTGTTCTTAAAACGACACTAACTCCATTACCATCGGTGAAACATGGAAGGAGTATAATGTATGCCGAATAGGAAATGATTAACAAAGGAGTGACAGCTAATACTGTGGGCAGTGGGTTCAGGAAGATACAAAAAGAGCATATTTGACTGATCCCTCTTTCTATATCAATTTGATATTCTTTAAGTAGTCACGATCGTAACAGGTAGTTTGAATAATATTTGTTTTTTGGCTAAATATAAGAAGAAAAAACCTCTAAGTTTATATCATTCATAAAGAGTGTGGGACAGCAGAACAATTTCTAGAGTTGTTCCATTTTTTTGTATAGTATCTTTTTTTTGTTTTTGAGTTCTACTATGTCACCCCCAGTAGAGTACTGTGGTGTCACAGCTCACAGCAACCTCAAACTCTTGGGCTTAAGTGACCCTCTTGCCTCAGCCTCCCAATAGCTGGGACTACAGGCTCCCACCACAACACCCAGCTCTTTGTTGCTGTTGTTGTTGTTGCAGTTGTCATTGTTTGGCAGGCCAGGGCTGGGTTTGAACCCGCCAGCCCCAGTGCATGTGGCTGGCACACTAGACACTTAGCTACAGGTGCAAGCCTGTATAGTATCTTTTTGAACTTAGCTAATAGCCTTCAGGTAAACTGAGGTCCCCTACACAAAAGCATAGCCAAACTTAAACTTTTGTTGGTTTCCCACACACTATGTTTTTTCCCAATTTGCCTCTTAGCAAAATAGATGCTAACATCTTCAGGTGGGGCTGCCAAGTCCAGCCACAGACTAGGCCAGCCTTTCCTGCCTGTGAGTGACAGCCATTTTTCATGCTGCTCAAAGACTACAACTGTCACTGCAATTCTCTGTGCCGAAACCTCTAATAATCGTCCTGGCTCCTGCTTCTCACAGTATTCCTAGGAATAATTGACCTTTCAAGTGAATTGAAAAAGATTCCGTCTAGGTAAGCAGACCCTCAAAGCCCAGGCTAAAGCTTTTACACAGCAGACATTTTGTGGACATTCCAGTGACAGCCTGTGTCTTTTTTAAGGAATGACATCAAGAGAATCCAAATGGAGTGAGTCTTCTTGACCACTAGGGGGCTTCATGGGCCACAACCTATATCACAGTGGTAAGGAATGACAGATTGTTCTTCATTGTTTACCTTTAGTAGAGCCGTTTTCCATAATCCAAATAGACCCTCTAAATTGTCAGTAATTATTTGATAACTGAGTAGGATGCCTGCCTTAGTAAAAGCTTGAGAAAGGAGAAAAAAAAATAAACTTTATACCAATAATGCCTAGGGAACAAGAGGACTAAATATGATGGGAAATAAGAATTTATAATCCAAGCATGCTAATCACTACTGAACTCACGACTAAAATGTTTTCCAGAAACAATCATCTCTAGGTAATTAGGCAATAATCAGGCTTTTTCAATCTCCATATTATTTCTCTTCAGTGGCTTACGGGTTCAGGGATGTAGATGGAAATACTTATACAAAATCTATCAGTTCAAGAAAACTTTCCCAAGTATAATAACAAGAATCATAAAGTCTTTTGATAAACTATCTTTTTTTTTTTTTGAGATGGAGCCTCAAGCTATCCCCCTGGGTAGAGTGCCATGGCATCACGCTCACAGCAACCTCTAACTCCTGGGCTCAAGCGAGTCTCCTGCTTCAGCCTCCCAAGTAGCTGGGACTGCAGGCGCCCGCCACAGTGCCTGGCCATTTTTTGGTTGCAGCCATCATTGTTGTTTGGCAGCCCGGGCTGGGGATTCGAACCTGCCACCTTAGGTGTATGTGGCTGGCACCTTAGCAGCTTGAGCTACAAGCACCGAGCCGATAAACTATCTTCACTTCCTTAGTACACCTGTTTTCACCAAGTAAGATAGTTATCGCTCTTTATAATAGGGTATTTGTCATGCTGATCAAAGGCTAATATCACTGAATTTCCTGAGCCCACCAGTATTTGTGCCTTAGCTGAGCTAGAGACTCTTCCACATTCCCTTTGTATCTGACACCACACCTGTATGTGGCTTGACACAGTTTTTCACGTGCGTGGGAGAAAAATCCCAGAAACGGCAAATTATTAATAGCAACTTTTTGATATATTCATGGACTTTTATCTAAGAGTCTCTATTTTTACATGTGATGCATCAACACTCAGAACAACAGCTGAGAAGCATCATCGAGGCTGAGAGGATGATGCTGATTAGGCTGCTGCCTGATGACTCCTTATATGAATGACCCTGAAATATAACTAATTTTATGCTGTAAAATGCTGTTTGATTTTGGTGTGTTTTGTTCTACGTAACTCATTCCAAAGGCTGCATTATACCTTGCCCTTTGTTCAGAAAATTTTGTGGTAGCTTTTGGCCAGAGGTTTTGAACTGTCTTTTTAGTTAAGAAGACCAGAGTCTGTCTGGGCAGAGAATACCAATCATCTCCAAGAGGACAATATGCCAAGAGAATGAGGGTCTATCTGATACAGAAGGAACACTGATATTTTTTAAAAGAGAGATGAAAGATGCTGCCATCCTTTTATTCAAATGTCAGAGTGGACCACCAAACCAGGATTACAAAGCCTACCTGAGGCATGAAGCGGGGTTCTTTTGGTTACATTGTCTTTCACAAAGATGGACGCGCCCTGATTGATCAGTGCTTCCACACATTCTGTGTGTCCCTTAAAGGCAGCCAGATCCAGAGCAGTGCGGCCTTTCTCGTCCCTGATGTCCAGGTCCACCAGTGACTGCAGAAGGACTTCCAAGGCTTGATGGTGCCCATTGTAGGCCTGAAAAGAAGAAACCGATGATTCACATGCCCGCTCACCTCAAATCCCACAACAGACCGGGCCTCCAAGCTCACAGGTAAAGGACACTCCAAAGAGCACATCAGAAAAACGTGTGGCATAATGATCAAAACACAGGCAGACTAGAGAGTTAGACTAAAAAACTGTAACCCACAAACTTCACAGTTCCATACCAATTTCTTAGTTTGGAATTCTTTCCTTTTTGTCACATAATTTTCTCTAAAGGCATTAAATGCATTAATGTCTTCTTTTAATGATTTACCTAATAATCTAACATAGACTAAATGAATTCATGTATGCTTAAATCTGTCAGTTCAGTCCTAAACATACTGATGTCATCAGGATTTGTTTTCAGGAGTCTTTTCTATTAAGAAACATAAAGGGGGCGGGGAACTACTAAAAACATTGTGCACTTTGGGATTCAACAGAAGCATGCGCTTTCTGTCACAGCAGAACAGTTCACTCATTTCTTTTTCATTTCACTAATTTCTAACCATGTGACCTTAGGTAAATTTTTTAATTTCACCTAGAGCTTGTATACTCATCTACAAAATGAGAGCCATAAAATCTGCCTCCCAGGGCTGCTATGAAGGAGAAAAGAGATAAAATTGCACAGGCTTTGCATAATTTCTTTGATGCTTCTTCTTTATTTCTTCCATTGATTATAATGAAAATATAGAAACTATTCCATGTGCCAGCACCAAGTTCAGATCTATTTTGAGGTCTTATGCTATGTCAAGATTAAGAGGCTAAAAAACAAAACTAAAAGTCTGAAGGATAATTTTTATTGAGTCTATAAAGGAAAAAAATATATACACACACATACACACCTACATACACCACGTAGATAAAAGATATTGAAAATAAAAAAATAAAGGGAATAAGGTTATCTGGAGGAAAATCTGGGTGGAATGTAGTAACCTACGTAATAAGATATGTAACAACCCATGTAACAGCTTATGTAGTAACAATTTATGTAGCAACCCAGGTAGAAAGATAGGTTTGAAGAGACAATGTGGTGGTTGACCAGGACAGGGGGCTTGCAGGGACAAAGAGGCCGCCGTTACTGGACTTAAAGAAACAGATTGATCAGCTGTGGAACGCCAGTGAAGGGGGCTGGGCTCAGGGGCCCGGCGCATGTTCTCAATAAATAGGAGCTGCGGAGGTTGCTTGGGGCCTTTTGGCAGACGCGCGTGGGGAGGCCCACCTCCTGCAAGCTTTGAGCTTACAATCCATTGTCCGGCCTGCTTCCTGGGTGATGGCACCCACAGTGGGGAGGGAAGAAAAGAAATAGAGAGGAAAAGCCAATTGCAGCATCTTAAGTGACCAAAGCCCCCCTCATGTGTCACCTGTGCTTTTCCTTTTTCTAGTGCAACCATTAGTCAAGCCACAATTTATTTGAAAAAAGGCTTAGCACAAAGGACTAGTTTCTTTAATATACAAAGAGTTCTTGGGAACCTTTTTTTTTTTTTTTTTTTTGAGACAGAGCAACCTCAAACTCTTGGTCTTAAGTGATTCTCTGGCTTCAGCCTCCCAAGTAGCTGGGACGTTAGGCACCTGCCACAACACCCGGCTATCTTTGGTTATAGTTCTTACTGTTGTTTGGCAGGCCCAGGCTGGGTTCAAACCTGCCAGCTCCAGTGTATGTGGCTGGTGCCCTACCCAATGAGCTACAGGTGCCAAGCCTTGGGAACCATTTTTAAAACTAGGAAACTATTATGCAAAAAAGCAGCTCACAGGAAAAGAAAAATAAAAGGTAAAAAAAAAAAAAGAAAAAATAGTAAATTTTTAAAGTTTACTTATTTTTCAACAGGTTGGCAATGATTAAGAAGTTTGGCCATGCTCAGTCTTAAGACATGGTGGATAAAAAGCAGTCTTATACTCTGTTGGGAGTACACACATATAAATTGGTATGACATTTGTGAAGAATGGTTTAATAACATCTACCAAAAATTTTAATAAGAGAAACTAAATTGCAGACAGTACATATAGTGTGGTTTATATAAAAAGCAATTATATCCACACATATCCATAGCTATATCTACAGACACTTCTATATTCATATAAGAATTTCAGAAGGACACAGAAGAAGCTATTGATGGTAGGTCCCTTGAGAACCAGGAGGTAGAGTGATAAAGATATGGACTTATTTCACTTTTTCTTTTAAAATATAGCTTGAATTGTTTTCTGAGTATATGACAACAACAATAATAAAAACTAAATTTAAAAGGATCCATAGGAATAAAGAGTAAAGATAGTTTTTTAAAAAAATTTCTCATTACATTATTTTTGTAATTGATTATGGTTACTGTGCTATATATTAAATATGTACATTACATATAACTGATGTTGATGAATCTCAAGTTTATCCACTTCTCCCTACTTCTCCCTTGATTTCTGACTTATATATCCGACTGCCTATTGATATTCCCACTTGAATGTCTAATAAGCATCTCAGATTAAATTCTTAATTTCCTTCCCAAAATATGGTCCATCTACAGCCTTTTCCATCTCAGTACATGGCAACTTTATTCTTCTATATAATAGATGCTCAGGCCCCAAACTCTGGAGTCATCTTTATCTTCCTTCCTCTTTAGGCTATGGTCCTGAGGCTCTGGGATAATAGGTGAGTAGGTCTGAAAAATAGCCCTTCTGCACCTTTCTCTGCCTTGGCACAGGGATGTGTCTGCTGAAAGGAAGGGGACACCTTTGCTAATTCACAGAGTTAAGTTCTCAGGCATCCAGCAAGAATTCTTATTGTCATTTACACTCAGATGCTGTGTGACCTGCAGTGCCCCTCCCAAGGCTCCATCACATCATCTCTACTCTTTGTCTAAAATTCCACCGGAATCTATCTCCTTCTCACTGTACCACCGTCCTGTTATGCTAAGATTACAGTAAATGTTCTCTTCCCAGTCTTGTCCTCCTGCAATCTACCATTGATAGAACTGTCAGGTAAAATCTTTTAAACCCAAGTTGGATCATGTCACTCCTTCCTTAAAACTACTCCTGCAATCTACCATTGATAGAACTGTCAGGTAAAATCTTTTAAACCCAAGTTGGATCATGTCACTCCTTCCTTAAAACTAGCCTACTTCTTCCTTCATTGATACCAAAACTTTCCCTGAACAATTAGGTCCCCAGGTCCCAGCCTTCTATATGCCTTCACTCACTCTGTTCCAGCCACACCTGCCCCCAGCTCTCTCTGTGGTCAAATGCCTGCACCTCCTCCTCTGGGCCCACTGCATCTGTGCCTTCTGCTCCCTCTGTCTGGAGAGCTCTTCCCCCAGAAAGCCACTGGCTCTTCTGATGAAATATCATCATATCAGGGAGGCTTCCCAGAGGAGTCCATGTAGAATTGGATCCCCTCTCCACTCCACTTACCCTGTTTCACTTTGTCTTCATAGCACTTACCACACATGACACCCGGCATGCATCTCCTGATTTGTTTACTGTCTATGACTGAGTGACTTTAAATGGGCTGTTCACTGCTGTGTCTTAGAATGCCTGGCACAGAGTAGACACTCAACAATTATTTGATGAATAAATATATGAATATAATGACTGATATATTTATTAGTATTAGTGGTAGAAATATATTTTTTAAATAGCAATTATTCACTGACAGCTTTTTATGTGCTAGTCACTATGTTGAGCCCGTTAGCATCTCATTCAATCATTTCAAACATCCTTTCTTTTACTTATAAATGAACAACAACAACAAGAAAACTAAAACAAGCAATGTTAATTAACTTGTCTGAATTAACTCAGCTAGTAACAAAATCAGGATTTTTGAACCCAAACTCAGTGACTACTAAAACCCATGCTTTTAGCGACTGTGTTATAATTTTTCCCTAGTAATTCCATTTAATTGAATTTCAGACAAAATACTTTTGTCTCTGTGTGGAATAAAGACAAAATACTGGAACAGAGAGCTGAATAACAAGCATTGAATCAGAAACCTAAACTTCTCTAGAATGCTCATCACAGAGGCAAAGTGACTTGAACAGAGCTGTGAAGGTAGAAGGTACATGCCCGAGACTAACCTTGGGACTACTATTCTCTATACATACTGCCTTTCTAAAGACAGTAAATAAATTCCTAAAATAAATTTCTAACAAAAATGTCGAACTTTCTGATCTATACTTGCAAGACATAACTGTGTTGGGATAGTAAGCCTTCCTTCTAACCTAAATTCCAACAATAGCTAACTTTAACTGAACACTCCCTGTCAGGCAGTGTGGACATGCATCAGCTCAACTGATTCTATCAGCAAACCATGGTTGGAATACTCTTGTTAACCCCATGGTACTGATTAGAATACAGAGGGCAGAGGGGTTATCCAGGTCTCCCATGGTTCCATGGTTTTATGGAGAGGAGCTGGGTTTCAAAGGTGGTTGAGGGTGATCTCAGAGCGTGAGCTATGGGCTCTTCTCAAGCTTATAAGGAAAGGGTCCAAAATGGCCATGTGGTAAATGTCTTCCTAACCTTTCCTGATAGGACATTTCAAAAATACACAAGGAGGAGAAGATGGCATAATGAATTTCCATTTACTTTTCATGTAATTCTGCCATGATCAGTTCAGGCCATGGAGCATTTTAGGCCAATTTGGGAACATCAGTCCTTGTGTAAAGGCTTTAGTAAGAGCATCTGGATCAGTTGTAAACCAGCCAATAGCTCTTTACTCTGGGCTTGAGTCTGTTGCTTAAACTTTAACTTAATTTGCTTAAGTTAAAGGGACTTAAATATTAAAATGGAGTGAGGCCTGCTGGCAATTAGGAAAGCTTTAGACGAAGTTTCAGAACTAAGGGCAATGAAGAGAAAGAACTGGGTTCTCAACAGAATCCATGAGAACAATGGATCCATCGGAAATCTCAACAGCTGGAGCTTTTATTTGCATAACATCATTTCTTAATTTATATTTTTCAAGTGGATGAAATGCTTATGAAATTCACTGGGCTGATAACCCTGGAAACTCGAATCATTCAGCCAGGAAATAGTAACTTAAGGCAGGTCAGGCTTCCTGTGGCACTCAAGGTTTGGGGGCATCTGGTACCATTTCACTGCTAGAATGCTTCCACCTAAGAAATCATGTGCCTTGGGGTTTATCCAGTTAATTGCTACAGAGATCCCTGGAGATGGGATATACTGTGGGGTTCTTGAAGTAATGGGCATACTGTGGGGTTCTTGAAGCAAAGAGTTTTTGTTTAAGTGTTAGCATTTAGAAGGAAAGGATAAAATAGTTCCAGAAGAAACCCACAGCAATCGTCCTGGTCAAAGTCATCATCGTCAGCTCTTGCCTGATTTTGCTTTGCTTCTGCTTTTGTTCCCTTGCAATTAAAACTCAACACAGCAGCTACCGTGATACTTTAAAACAAAAGTCATGTCATGTCATCTGTTTCCTCAAACTGTC